GTTTTCTTCGTTTTTTTGAGAGGGAACACAATTTAAAAATTTTAAAGAAGTTCCAAAATTCGTATGGCGCCAAAAGTCAGGGAAAGCTGCCGCGGGTTCCAAGAAATAACAAAAGAATTAAGCTGGTCAGTTTGGGTGGCACGCCACCCCAATGACAAAGGGGATTAAAGGGCTTACCGTTTGGGACTGAATGCGCTTGGGACGGATCTTCCGTACGCGGATTTTTTGGTGGAGGCTGGAAGCAAATTGGATTCGGTTTTTGAGATGTGTATTTTCTTTGCGGGAAAATTTTGAATTTACAACAGTCATGAGTCTTGTTTTTTTTTTTTCTCACTATGACCTGAAGCCAATCAGGGTGCGTGTGTCATTGCATTTATTGCGCTTTGTGTTGAGCGTTCGAATACCACCTCATCAGCTGCTTTGAAGAAATGTGTTTTCGTTGAGAACATTCGATTCGGTTAAGATAGTGAATATTGATTTTTATACGGTTGATTACTGAGAAGCACGATCTGAACTTGATGCAGCAAATTTGCAGTTGAAACTGCGAATGTGTGCATCGGAGAAAATCCAAGCAAATAGCTTATGTCAAGTACAGTACTGTACATGAATCGTCAAGCAACATACAGGAGAAAATTATTTGCCATTTTTAAATGTGCACGTTTACTTTATGGGGTAATGTTTTTTTTTTTTACTTTGGGGAAGTAAATGGAGGATGGCATTATTGAACGTGTCAGCAATACTATGATTTATTATATTTTTAGAGAATGAGAAGGATGAAGAAATGTCTGAGAATCGATGATTTCTGTTGTTGCACGGATACTTTAACTTGGCTAAATAATGTGTGCAACATTTTTATTATTCGGTAAATGGTTTCTGAGGGGAATAAACCATTGATTTTTTGTTCTATTAGTCTTTCAACTGCTTGCGGTTTTAAAAAGATGAGGATCATTTTTAAAAATAATTATTATTTATTCTGCACAGACAACATTGCACCCACTCATCGTGATAATTTTCCTAATGAAAACACTCTTTTTTTTTGCTGAATGTGTGCGACAATTTTATTATTCGTTAATTGGTTTCTGAGGGGAATAAAGCATTGATGTTTTTGTTCTATGAGTCTTTCAACTTCTTGCGGTTTTTAGAAGAGAGAAATCATCTTAAAAATAATAATTCTGTTTTCTGCACAGAGAACATTGCACTCACTCATCGTGATAATTTTCCCAATGAAAAAACTTTTTTTTTTGGCTGAATGTGTGCGACATTTTATTATTTGTTAATCGGTTTCTGAGGGGAATAAACCATTGATTTTTTTTTTTGTTCTATGAGTCTTTCAACTGCTTGCAGTTAATAATAATTCTGTTTTCTGCACAGAGAACATTGCACTCACTCATCGTGATAATTTTCCCAATGAAGGCCCTTTTTTTGGCTGAATGTTTGCAACATTTTATTATTCGTTAAATGGTTTTTTAGGGGAATAAACCATTGATTTTTTTGTTCTATGAGTCTTTCAACTGCTTGCGGTTTTTAAAAGAGAGAGAGATTATTTTTTATAGTAACTCTGCTACTGTATTTTTTTCTGCTCAGAGAAAATAGCATTCACTCATTCGTGATAATTTTCCGAATGAAAACATATTTTTGCTGAAGGCTCGAGGAGGATTTTTGTACCCGCAGCTTTTAGTTTGAATTTTATTCATAAAATTTGTAAAATTGTGTTCTTAAAATGGATTATCTTGTATTTTGCAGTCCCTGGGCGACGGAGACGACGTGCGTGCGGAACATGCCGCCGCCAGTCGTGCCTCGTGGATCCAACTACCCCATCACGCTGACCATGAACATGATGGACCCGCCGGTGGGTGCCCACCGACCGGCGCCACCGACGCCACCAGGCCTGGAGATCTCCGCGTTCGACACTCTGTCTCCGTCGCCGCGCGGACGCCGACCCATCACCACCACCACCACTCCTGGCGGCGGTATAGTGACAAGTGGCGGCGGCGGTATCGGGATGTTTGGCAAGTCGTCGACGAGCAAACGACTGCATCACCGCAGCGGGAAGCTGTCACACTTTGACCGCCTAGCTGACGACCTGATCCTCAAGATATTCTCGTACTTGTCGACCCAGGAGTTGTGCTCCTGTGCTCGGGTCTCGAGGCGGTTTTACCACCTGGCCTGGGACCCCAAGTTGTGGACGACCATTTCGCTGAATGCCGAGACTGCCAACCCTGACCGGGCTCTCAAGGTGCGTTTTTCTTCTTTATTTTTTTCTCTCCCTTTCTATCTTGGATCTAGAAGCGAAATGGTTGGTTGGAAGAGACCTGGAATGAATTGACTCAGTTCAGGGTATAAGACTAGAGAGTTTTCGATGGCTTTATTTGGTACAGTTGAACCTCTGTAAGTCAAATTTCTAGGGACCAGGAAAAAAAAATTGAATTAGGAAGGTTTTGATTTTCAGAGGTTCCCAGTTGAGGAAACAAACGCTTTTGTTGTGAGGAGAATTGAAAAAAGTGTGGGAAATCATAAATGAGGATATTCTGGGCCTAAACTTGCTCCTTAATGAGTTTACACCTTGGTGAACTTGGAGGCAGTGGTTCATTTGCTATATTTGTCTTTCACTTCCTTCCAAGATGCATCAAATTATTTGTTTTAATCATTTTCTCTTCCATATTTCAAGGACATAATGACCAGAAGGTCTCAGAACATTTGACTTACACAGGTTTTAGAGAAAAAGACTTTGAGTTAGGGAGGTTTTTTACTGTATTGATTCTAAGGGAATTCAGACAGGGACTAAAAAAAATTCTACTTATGGAGATTCACCCGTACAACGCTGAGAATGGCCGAGTCGAAGCTGTGCCAGATGAGGTCTAACATGTATAAAGATACTGTTGTATTTTTTTTATGGGACGAAAATGCTCCATAAATTGAAAAACGTGTCCTGCTTGCACGTGAAAACACTGGGACGGGATGTTTAGATACAGTACTGTACTGTATTTTAGAAAACCCGCACGTGGTGCAATAATGTAGCGAGGCATTGTTTGTCGGTCTCCCCGGAGTTGATGAGCAATTAGAGCTTTTCAGTTATTCCGACAAAAACAAAAGCCCCGCTCTTCGCAAAAAGCCCTTCTGTCAGAATTTTTTTTTTCGTTTTGTTTTTTTTCGTCGCGATGTTGTGTGTTTAGGGAAGCGAGGAAGCATTTCATTCCTGTCGCATCCGAGAATTTGCTGCCAATTATGCGACTATTGCGAGGGGGGGGCACACGGGGAAGAGGACTTGGCAGAAGAACGCTCATTAGTGTGGCTTATTAACGAGGGGTTTTCGTGAAATCCTGACGCTATTGAGGTGACACGTGCTCATTTGACAACGAAATACAGTTAGGTTTAGATTATGGACAGAAGTACTGTACAGGTACAGTACTCTACTGTACACACACACACACACACACTCTCTCTCTCTCTCTCTCTCTCTTAAAAACCGCAAGCAGTTGAAAGACTCNCATTTGACAACGAAATACAGTTAGGTTTAGATTATGGACAGAAGTACTGTACAGGTACAGTACTCTACTGTACACACACACACACACACACTCTCTCTCTCTCTCTCTCTCTCTCTCTCTCTCTCTCTCTCTCTCTCTCTCTCTCTCTCTCTCTCTCTCTCTCTCTCTCTCTCTCTCTCTCTACAACGCTTTTCTCTGTGCAACGATTTTTTTCCTTACTCTGATATCTACCCATATTATAGAGGTTCTCGGGAACGAAAATCTCTCTACAGTACAACGAATTTATCGTTGTAGAGAACCTCTGTAACACGGGGAGAGAACCGGATGGAACAACCAACACTGCAGTACAGTACAACAAAATGTCATACCGTACAAAGAAAATCGTCGCACACCAGTCCTCATTCCGGCGTAAAATGCGTTTTACTTTTGTTATTTGATTGGCCTTTCGGGATCGGTGGTGTGCTTGGTAGGTAGTCGCTGTCCGAAGCGCATTAATTACCCGCAGCGGGTCGTGCTTCGGATTCCGATCGCCCCGGAATGAAGGTGACATTCCGCGGCTCGCGACGACGCGATTCGGGTTCCCGACTGGTCCAGAGAAAGCCAGCCACGTTTTAGCCGCCTGATGAAGCGGTTATTTATCCTCCGTTTATTCTTTATTTATTTTTATTTTTTGCGTATTCTTCTTTACACATAGTGCTTGGTAATTATGCTGCGTCTGAACGCACGCACAGCTTATGTACACGGAGGGAGGTTTTATTTTTTTTTTTTTATTTACTGAAAGCTCAACAGAGTTTGGTCAGAGTCTGAGACTGTGTTCAGTTGAACCTCGATGATGATAACTCGAACCTCTCCAAGTTGACTTTGTTTCAAGTCCCCGGCCTGAATCCCCTAAGAAACATTAACGCTTCAAGAACCTCCCCAACTGGAAGGCTTTTCCTTTTAAAATTTGTGTAATTGGAGTTTTCTGAGGCCTTTTGGCTATTATTTTCTGGACAGAGGAAAGAGAAAAGCAATGAAAAGTAACTTGATATGCTTTGGAAGGAAGTGAAGGACTAATTGGAAAAAATGAACCCTTGCTTTCAAGTTCAGCATAGCCTGTTCACTTGCTTAAGAATCAATTTAAAGTCCAAAATATCACCATTTTAAAATTTCCTGCGAATTCTTCTATGCTTGCCACAACAAGAAATGCATGTTCCCCTAGCTCAAATTCTTCCTGAGTCAAAATTGTTTGCTTGTAATTTGACTTGGAGAGGTTTGACCATATTTCTGTAAAAAAAAATGTTGAAAGCGCTTATACAAGTCAAAGCTCACCAAGTCAAATTACAAGCTAACAATTTTGACTCAGGAAGGCAATTTTCTATGTTTCCTGGAACAAAATGGCTTTTTATTGTAGCTCAATTCAAAACCTCCCTAATTTGAATTTTTGCTGGTCCCTTGAAATTTGACTTGGAGAGGTTTGACCATATTTCTGTAAAGAAAAAATGTTGAAAGCGGTTATACAAGTCAAACCTCTCTAAGTCAAATTTCAAGGGACCAGAAAAAAATTCAAATTACGGTGGTTTTGAATTGAGCTACAATACAAAGCCATTTTGTTCCAGGAAGCATAGAAAAATTTCTCAAAATTGTAAATTGTGATATTCTGAGGCTAATATTACTTCTTAAACGTGTTGAAAGAATCCTGAACTTGGAGGCGGGGCTCATTTGCCCAATCAAGTCTCTCACCTGCTTTTGAAACAAATCAATTTCTGTTTTTATTGCTTTTTTTCTTTCTTGTGTCAAGAAAATAAAAGCCAAAAGTCCGCAGAAAATTTGACTTATGGAGGTTTGAGGGGAAAAGCCTTCAACTTATGGAGGTTTTTAATGCATTAATTCTAAGGGGATCCAGACAGGACCTGAAAAATAATTTGACCAAGAAGGGTATTTGACTTGAGGGAGGTTTGAGTTATTGAGGTTCAACTGTATACAGCACTGTAATGACTTGAATATTTAACTGAGTCTTTTAAATATTCAAGTACTGTATTTAGGCTGCAGAGCAGTCTTAGTGGCCTATACTTCTAGTACTGCAATGCAGCATACTATCTTTTTTTTAATACTGTATAAAAAATATCGAGATCACGCTTTGAAACGCAGTGTTGATGGCATGACGTTTGTCTCAACTCACAAGAAGTACATGACTAAGGAAATTCAAATGAAGAGTCATTATCCTGCGCCTCGACCTCACTAGAATGTTTTGGATGGTTCTGTTTATTCAAAACTTTCGGAGAAGTCTTTGTGTCCATTCCGCTGTGCATTAGTTTTAATACTGTATCTATTTCCGAATCCTGTATTGAAGATATCGTCATGCATAAATCTTGACCGAAAAAAAAAAAACACGCGAGACATGCGCATTGCGATTGAGTGAGTGAGTGAGAGGTAGGGTGGAAGAAGGAGAATTGACCGCGCGAGAACCCGGGTTGCGGCGTTACCCCCTTTTAATTTGACTTGGAGAGGTTTGACCATATTTCTGTAAAAAAAAAATGTTGAAAGCCGTTATACAAGTCAAACCTCTCTAAGTCAAATTTCAAGGGACCAGCAAAAAATTCAAATTAGGGAGGTTTTGAATTGAGCTACAATACAAAGCCATTTTGTTCCGGGAAACATAGAAAAATTGCTCAAAATTGTAAATTGTGATATTCTGAGGCTAATATTACTTCTTAAATGAGTTTAAAGAATCCTGAACTTGGAGATGGGGCTCATTTGCCCAATCAAGTCTCTCACCTGCTTTTGAAACAAATCAATTTCTGTTTTTATTGCTTTTTTTTCTTTCTTGTATCAAGAAAATAAAAGCCAACAGGCCACAGAAAATTTGACTTATGGAGGTTTGAGGGGAAAAGCCTTCAACTTATGGCGGTTTTTAATGCATTAATTCTAAGGGGATCCAGACAGGACCTGAAAAATAATTTGACCAAGAGGGGTATTTGACTTGAGGGAGGTTTGAGTTATTGAGGTTCAACTGTATACAGCACTGTAATGACTTGAATATTTAACTGAGTCTTTTAAATATTCAAGTACTGTATATACTGGCTGCAGAGCAGTCTTAGTGGCCTATACTTCTAGTACTGCAATGCAGCATACTACCTTTTTTTTAATATAAAAAATATCGAGATCACGCTTTGAAACGCAGTGTTGATGGCATGACGTTTGTCTCAACTCACAAGCAGTAAATGACTAAGGAAATTCAAATGAAGCGTCATTATCCTGCGACTCGACCTCACTAGAATGTTTTGGATGGTTCTGTTTATTCAAAACTTTCGGAGAAGTCTTTGTGTCCATTCCGCTGAGCATTAGTTTTAATACTGTATCTATTTCCGAATCCTGTATTGAAGATATCGTCATGCATAAATCTTGACCGAAAAAAAAACACGCGAAACATGCGCATTGCGATTGAGTGAGTGAGTGAGAGGTAGGGTGGAAGAAGGAGAATTGACCGCGCGAGAACCCGGGTTGCGGCGTTACCCCCTTTTTTGCTTATTTTTGTCCCTTCTCCTCTTTGCATCAGAGCCGCTATTCTGAAAGGTGACAAAACGGGGGGAACGAAAACGAACATAAGGCTGCCGGGGCCTGCGTATATGCTGTAGTATTTGGACAGGGATTGAGAGAATGAGGGAGAGTATGGCGGACTGAAACATGCCCCCCTGCCGGCGTCAACTGATGTACGAACTGTTGCAATTGCCCGGAAGGATAGATTCAAGATCTCACTGTCTTGACGTGAATAACAGAAAATTTACGTGAAGAAATCACCCTGTGTCCCATGTACTGTACAGTATTGCAACGTGTCTACCTTGCGCTAGATTATTTTTTGAAGATGTAACTACTGTACTGTTGTGCTTTAAAAAAAAAGGAAATATAGTTTTTACCCCAGTACCACGCTCACTTTTTTTTCTGGGAAATTGAGTTAGAGAAGTGGGATACGTGTGGTATTCAAGTATAACTTCGTCAAGGAATGGAATAAATCATACCATTCTAGTATTAAAATTTCGTCTCAGGAGGAAAACATTTTATAAAAAGCTTTGTTTTACACCAATCCTGATTCAACTCTTTATATTCTCCTATTTTATTATATGGTTGTTTTTGGAAAATGTATTATTTTTTAAAACTTCAATTTTCAGCATAAAAAAAACTGCTGGGTTTGGAGATAGGTGGCCTTGTTTTGCATCAATACATCAAGGTGAAGTCTAAGTCAATGTCCCATGGTTCCCAAGTAAATGCAGTATTGAGTGTTGTTAGTGTGGAAACTGTTATTCCAAAGCAAGGATGATTTAAAAAAACATTCAAGAGATGCTCTTCAAGTATTTTTTTAAATCTTGGAGGAATATTCTGCAGCTGAAAAATATTCCCATGAATGCGACAAAAGCAAGATACTTGAATGAAAATTATCGTTCCTTACATCAAGTTAATTAGCACAGCTTGGATTGTGGTAAATTCTGGATCCAGGTAGCAAAACATTGAAATTATCCATCTAAAAGAAAAAATTCAGTATATATACACAGGGCAGTAACTCGATCCCTGTTCTCCCAGGACACAAATCCTAGACGGACAGACGATGCCGTCCGCATGGGTCAGCGGGTGGGTAGGACGCGAGGAGCGTAATAAAAGGACAGGTGCGCGCATGTGAGGAAAAGGCGGGCGGCGGAGTCCGACGTGTGGGAAGGAAGGAAAGGCGCGGATGGAGAAAAGAAGGGAGGGCCGAGCGACGCGGGGAAGGACAGCGCCCCCCGCTGTCCTTCTCCTGTCGAGCACGAAGCCTGGCGTGTCCGCGTGCGTGTATGTATGTATGCATGCATGCTTGCGTACATGCGTGCGTCGTTCGTTGTTCCGCTGCTGCAAGAGATGAGAGAGGGAGAGAGAGAGCCTTTGGGGGCCTTACTGAAACGTGGAAGCCTCAACGCCTGACGAAAACTCCGTGTACAGTACTGTACCGTCCGTGTCTCATACGTGAGACCAGTGACTTATGACGTCCTTGGGATTGTCAAAGTTAAGGCTCTCATTATTATTCTGTATTTTTTTTTCTCTCTCTACTGTCACGTGCGTTTGAGGAAAGGCGTGGTATGAAGGATAAAGGGTGGGCTGAGCGTGGTATATTGAATTGTAGCGTGATTCGTTTTTTGTTTTCTGGGGAAAATGACGGGTGCACGGATTCGTCTTCGCGTCATTATCTTTTATTTCCTAAGACAAGTAAGGACTCACTTCCACAACATTGGTGGTACCCAAGCATTTTTCAAGTCGTATGCGGAAGTTTCTAAGCACGAGTATGAGAAAACTTATCTGATTAAAGCCAAGCTGTTCGTTTTCACCAGTGCGGTTGTTTAGAAGTACAGTACAGTACTTTATGCGGGTCATTTGTGGCACTTTACTGTATACTACTGCATTTAATGAAATGTACAGTAATCCTTGCTATCTATGGGAAATGGGGACAATTCATAGCGAAAATCGGGGAGCATTTTTTTTCACCGAATAAATCTGTTGGGAATGGGGTGATCGAATGTCTCTGTGAAATTTTGCTAAATGTCTCGTCAATGCTGGTATATTTTTCTGCTCCAAATTTTTAAGAAGCATTTTAACTAGACTCAAGTTGAAATGCTTC